CACACACACACACACACACACACAGCGTGTACATAAATTCTCCTGAACCCATGATGGACCGGGAGTTTCTCGTCATCTTCATGTATTCAGGTTGATCGACTGCACTGCATCTGTTACAAAGGGGGGCTCAGGCATGTATCATGCGATAGGAGCTTGAAGCAGTCACAGGCTTTATGATCTGACGTATCAGCAGAAGACATGTGGGTACCAGAGTTTCTCTTTCAGCCAGCACACACCAACATCGCACCATTCTCTGCGTGCGTAGACCAAACTGTTTTGCGTGATGACGTTGTCTGAGAGAAGTAGCAAACCTTAAACAATGACATGGTGTGTTAACAACCTAAGAGCAAGGTTAGTATAACTCTGAAGCCAAGCAACCCTTCCTTCCTTCCTTCCTTCCTTCCTTTCATCCTTCTTCCTTCCTTCCTTTCCTCTGAGTCATTTTCTTTGGGGGGGTTGGATGGTTCCAGTTCTGTCAAAAGAAACTTTTTTTTTTCAGTTTTAGTGCAAATAGAACAGAAGCAGACCGGACATATGAAGCTGATGACCCCAGCTGGTTTGACATCTGGGCGAATCTTTGGGAGATGATATGATCAGTTTGTCGCTGCAACCCTCATCCTCCAGTAACCAGGCACCTCAGCCATGGAGTCTGGTCACAGGAAGAGGTGAACTATTGCAAAGAATTACAGGAAGTACGTTTCTTTTTTTTCTTCGTCAACTCTTAAAATAATTCCAAAAAGTGCTAGGGGGGAGGGGCTGTACAATCCTTATTTGATTGTCATTATGTACATCTCTATGGATACATTAATAAATAAAACAAATGTCCAAGAGCATGGAAGTAACATTAAAGGTATACACATAGGAGGTCCCATCCAGTTTGGGGTTCCTGCCGAACCCTTGATTAGAAGAATGAGTGAAGAGAAATGTGTCAGTCTTCATCATCATCATCATCATCCCTCCCCCTCTGGTGATCTCGTCCCATCTCTCTGGAAAGAGCGTACAGATGTCTGGTGAGCCAGCAGGAAAACCTGGTGTTCAGCATTCATCTTCAACTTCCCTGATTGGTGGAATCAGACTACTGGTGGATTTGTATTGGTTGACTTGGTTGGCCATGTGAGTGCTCATGGGCTTGATCTGAATGTTCCGTGGGTAGGCATTTTCTGGTTCATCTGTAAACCATTTCTTTTCTGAAGAGGAGGACAAGGCGAGAGAAGAAGAAGAAAAAGAAAAAGTTAGTTTGAAAAAAGTGTGCAACATGGGATTATATACAACCACAGGGCCTCAGTTTAAGTGATAAATGTGCAGGACATTCTTGTGATTATATGATGTCCAGTTTGAGTATATAAGTGGAATCATCCCTAAGGTAAAAACATGGATATAATCTGTCAGAATTATAATAAATCTTGAATAAGAGTAAAAATATTAATTTACTATGCTAGAGGCAAGGTTGATCAACCCAAATTACAAAAAACATATTTTCATACTCCTGCTAGTATTAGTCCCTATAAAACATCTATATCGTGTTCTGTTTGGAACGAAGACGCATACACGTATACACAGAAAATCGCAAAAATGTCTGGAGCAGTGCAAATTGAGTTTAAAGGAGACAAAGCAGAAGCACCGACTGGAAATTACAGAAAACTTGTGTCTGCACAGTTGGTACATTTGCAAGTTTGCAAGAGCTTGAGATGAAAAGGGAAACTTAATATATTGTCTCCCTATAAACACCACGAATGAAATCCTATTCACTTCTATTGTATGTGGGCAGAAATGCCAGAAGTGGATACCTAACTATCTATCATGGCTATACAACTTGCTCCAGGTTGTAATTTGGGTGAGCAACTTTCAACAATACATGCTAAACACATTGCATAGTAAAGCTCTGCTCTCATGCTGACAGTCATTATGTGAGAGAGGAGATTTGAAAGTTTTGGATGTGTGGTTTTTTTCTACAGAAGCTTGTCATGTTTTAGTATGCGATGAGAGCACTGATTCTGAGTGAAGGGAGGTGTGTTTGCTCGCTGTCAGAAGTTTGTAAACTCTCTCCCAGCACTTCACAGGCATCTGCAATGCCAATCAACATGCCACCTCCTTATGGGTGAAGTTGTAATATCAAATTTTAACTTTGCTACGCGGAGCAAACCTGTGTGTGTGTGTGTGTGTGTGTGTGTGTGTGTGTGTGTGTGTGTCAGAAAGCTTAAGGCTGCAGGGCTGTGTGTTACAGCACAAGCATTTGATGTTTAGAATTGTGCCTGAGGTGAAGCAAGATGTCTGCCATCTCTCTCCAGAGTCTGCTGCTGATACGGTGAACTTAGGGATGTCGCCTCAAACCATCATATCAGGCGCACCGGGTTACAAGCAGGAAACTTACAGGCCTCATATCCCTCCCCCTCAATTTAGACTACATTGGTCACACCTCCCACTTTCTTGGTGTGACCGATTGCACAGGGCTGGACACACTTTCTCAAAGTTGCGTGAAAAAGTGAGTGATTTGGTGGCATCAGGGGGATTTGAATAAGCCTGACCTACATGTGTGCTGCGATCTGGGTTTTATACGTTGGGGAAACATGTAAACACCCTCTGTTGTCTTATGATACTGATGAAATAATAACTGTACTGCTGTAATGCACTAAATGAGGCATATAGTAAATATGACATCCAAGGCTTCATCCATACTACTGCGTTTTCATTTGAAACTAAAACGATCTCTGAACACACAAGGTGCTGGTGTGAGCAGGAAGGCATGCGTGTCCCACTGGACACAGGATTGTCACAGATTATAAAAATAATTGCTCATTTCCAACACATTTGTTGTGTCATTGTAAAAACCGAAATGACCCAATCACTAAGCCTGTCTCCCTCACCATTTTACAACGTCTCACTTTCAGCAAGTCCAAACAAAGATCCAGCAACTAAAACAGGGCCAGCAGCGTTTCCACACTTCTCCACTTTAGTTCCTTTAAGACTCGGGAGTAAGCAAGCGTATCCGTAGCTGATGTGTTTTCAAACAAAAACATAGTAGTGTGGATGTAGCCAGAAAGTCTGCTACAGTCGTCTGATAGCATTCAGTAGAGAAGGGAAGATGCACAAACACACACAGACCTCTCACACAATGCAAACCATCTCAAGTTGAAATAAATTATATAAAAAAAGGCATGACAGAAATGACAGAAAGAAACAATGTGGATCTTTCTGGAGGAGGAAAAGAGGGTTTATGTCTCAACCTCATGCAGTGTGGAGATGGTCCTGATCATGGCAGGGAGAGGGCAGGAGCAGCAGCAGACATTTTCTTTGCTTTCCAGATGAAAGCAAAACTTAAACTGAGGCACGGTTTACTTAACATCTGAAGAACATAAAAAAAATTTAAAAAACAAACTCCCGTCCTCATAACCATGTCCACACAGGACATGGTTATGATCAGAACTCCAGGTAAAGGTTGCTAAGTCATGCAGAATCGTTAACTTGCATACCTTGGCCCATTCTATTCATCCTTGTTGCACTTCAAAAAGAGAGGTAAGTAATCTACTGTAAGTGATTAGTATTTACAGTCAAAACACAACTGACAACTGACTATAGGCTTACATATTGTTATTACAGTATTTCGGCTATATAATACATCTTAAAATTAAGATGTATTGAGGGCGTATCGTCTATCACTTCATAAATCTGGTAACAAATCTGCATGCTTTTAGAATATCATTCAAATTTCAGTTCTTGTGATCTCCCAGGTGAAAATTTAAATTCAATGTGTTGCCTTCATAATTTTTGTGGGGGAGAACAGGATGTATATAACACATACACTAATGGTCAAAAGTTTTAGAGCACTTAAATCTTTCCAGCTTTTATTTAATTTCAAATGTTTCTGCATTTAAAGCATTAAACAATAAACAAAACATAACAGAAAAATGAATACTTAACCTAAATCTCAGACACACAAGAACTACCTACATTGACAGAAACAACCTTTGAGAAAAAATTGTTTAATGTGAGCTTTCTACCTATGTCCAATTTGGTCCATGTCCAATTTGTAACATGGAGGAGGCAGGATTTATGACCTATACTGCAGCCAGCCAATGGTTGGTGACCAATACACTCTGGCTTCACTTTTGGGGAGCTGTTATGTCGTCCATCTTTACATACAGTCAATAGTTCCTACCAGTACGCAGTACTATTTTTCACAGTGCAGTTTTCCTAACTTCCATTGCATCATCTTTTTAAAGGTAACTGTAAGTTCACAATTCCTTATTCTGAAAAAAAGGTTTTGTTCTGTTTTCTATGATACTTATATTTATTTATGTTTACCTTGAGCATTTTACTGCTAACATTTCCAACGCCTATGTTTATTCAGTGGACTTGAACTGCTGAAAATTCAATAAAAACTGAAAAAATATGGATGTCCTAAAACTTTTGACCAAAAAATTTCACCAAATTTGACAAAATCTCAGAATTTTTTAACAAACAAAACAGGAAATAAGCGTCTGCTAAAGAGGACTACCAACATGAACATGCAGTTAAGCAGTACAGATGCACCATGAATAACAAAATATCAACACTGCTAATGAGGAATGAGCAGATGAGAAGGCAAATGTTCTCTGTAATCGATATCAGCTACAGCAGGGAAATCCCAGTACGTTACATCCATGATCGAGATAAACCGATCATGTGCACAAATATCCAACAAACTACAGTTATTCACGACACAAATATTACGGAGTTAGACTCAAAACAACTAATAACAAGACAGATACAACAGGTAGACCAGACAACAAACTACATGTGTGCTGTGTTGTATTATGTCATTTTATTTGGATGTGGTCAAGGCCTTAACTGTGAGTTTATTTCCAACCACAGTGGCTGTGCCATCCAGACAAGTAGTTTTACTGTTTATAAAGCCCCACACTTAATTTGAGTTGATATAAATGAGCCCAGCTTTCCATGGAGCGAGCTCAACAAATGTGATACTATAATGTAATGATCGCTATGATGTGAGAGTGAAGACCACATGCAGATGATTAGAAAGGAAACACTGGACATGGACACACAACACGAGTCACACAAACAATCCACACACAGAACAAACAATATACGCAGTAATTTTGTCACCACAGTCTGCACACAAACACACACAATTATAAAATACAGGTCAGGTTGAACACACTACACATGCAGGCTGAATCTCCATGGGGCGCGTGAGGGCACGTACTTCTGTTTGTCGCGGGTCTCCCGGGTCTTACTGCTGCGGTTCTGCCGGTTGGAGGGTGGGATGGAGTGGACAGAGGAGCTCTTTTTGCTGGAGGAATGGGAGGAGTGGGAAGAGTGGGACAGGCTTGTCCGCGACTGGCCCGCGTTGTGGTCGAACTGCATGAGGCAGAAGATCAGGTCTGTGGGCACCAGCTCAAACTCGTATGGTGGGTTTGTGATCACATATCTGCACAGAAGAGAAAGGTTATAGAGACAATTAAATGTTTATGATCCTGGCGTGGAGGCAGGAGACAGTGAAAGGAAATAACAAAAAAAGAATATCACATTTATAGTATAGAAGATTGGGATTTTATTTACCAAACTGACACCTTCATTTCGAAAAATATATAAGTAATATATATATACTATAGTTTGGGGTCTTTTAAAAAAAAAAAATGCTGGAATGTAGTTATGTGTGGTAGAAGTTGGAGGATTTTATACCAACACTTTGCATATAGGTAAAATTTTATTATGACAGAAATAGATTAATAATAGTAATAAACTGAGTGTTGATTCCGGAACCTGTTTGTTTACTGCAGGTCCCAATGAGTGCTGATGGGCTGGGCCAGGTTCAGAAAAAGATCATGAAAATATATTAACGTTGGGTTTGGTCATGGAGTTTTTATGCTTTACATGGAGTTTCAGTCGGGTTCAGACACAAAAGAAAAGAAATGCCTGTCAGGTTTAACCCGGAAAAATGAACAGGGAATAGTGGCCTGAGTCATACTCTAATCTAAACCTGTTTATTATGTAGTAAATGTGTAAAGACGCAGACAAATCCAGTCTATTTAACAGAACATAATTGATTGTTAAGTTAAAAGACAATTATCAACTTACTGTATATGATTTGGCAATTTCTATTTGCCCTGTACAAATGTCAATTTTACTATTGCCATATAATACATTGTATATATATGTAGTATTGGAATTGATGCTATAGTCTTGACCTGTGTATTAAATTTCAATCTATTATAAACAGTATTCTATATTGTAATTAGTCTGTTTTAGGCATGGTATATCATTTGGTCATAATTGTGCTTGTTTCAAATCTACCTCATTTGTTTTGAAGCAGCTACAGAAACCCTGCAGTCTTACCATTGGGATTATAAGAGATCTTTAACCCCAATTACTCATAAAATACATAACAATTCATTGTGATGCTCAGTGAACAGTGAGGTTGTACCGTTTTGTACACTGGCTTGGTGTACTGATATGTGCATCTCTTAATCTGTAGATTCCGAAACACAGCATGTTGTAGGTCTTCAGTGCTTTACAGAATAAGTCTCCGTAGCAACCACCATCCTGAGGAACGACAGCACAAAAGACCCCATCAGTGTGTGTTAGGTCAGTGGCAGTGACAGTAATTCTCTGTAAAGTTCTGGTTAAAATTCATTGTCATGCATTGCTGAAGGTATTTTACTGCAGGTGAACATCACTTGTTCGCAGCACAGACTGTAACAATCAGCAAATGTTACAGTCACACAATTCATCAAAAAAAAAAAAAGAATTACTTCAGTTTGGGAAGTTTTCTATGACAATAACATAAACCTGTAAAAACAAGGTTGGAACCAATTAAACTTGGGATTTTATTTTGGTGGTATCCATTGTTCTATGCAAAGCTCTCTTCCCTCTCCGCCCACCATGGCCCCGCTTTGCGTGATCACTGTTCTTCACATCGAATTAAGAACCGCAAGGAGCGGAGGTGGCCAGATGTGTGCTGCTGGGTAGTGCCAAAATGTGTCATCTCCGCTTAGGCATCCACTTACCCCCAAGTCAGCAAACGGCCCATCGTAGAGGGCTAGTTGGGCGACACGACACCTGTCTCTGTTGGCCAGCGTCTGCGGCGTGCTGTAGCCGCCTCTGAGAGCGTTCTCCTCAGCTAACAGAGCCTCCAGCTCTGGTGTGGCTCCCCCTGTGACCAGCGTCCGGATCAGTGTGAGAATGTTGTCATTGAAATATGTCTGGGGAGAAGAAAAGAGGGGATATCTGTAAGCAGATGACATTAGAGTCTCCAGTAGGGAGGTAGCAGATGTGAGGACGAAACACAGCCCTGGTTATGTCAACCCTCAGTTTGTCTCTTCATATGGAAACGACCAAGGGACAAAGAGACAGGAGATGGAAGATTACAGAAGACTTTCTGTCATGTGCATCGTTCCGATGATGCAATACGTTGGCAAGGTTAACACCATTTATCTCTGGTGTTATCTTGCCATGCAGTTACTTGTGGTTTTATTTACTCAGATTATCCAACTTTGAGATTTGTGCTGACAACCTGATAAAAGGAGGCAACAGGAAATTTTGATCTAACCATTAACAATTTTCAGTAATTGTCACTTTATATGGTAAAAAGTAGTCCCTATAAAACCTATGACAGCTTTCTTTTATGTTACTCAAATTAATGGAAACATTTATTATGCCCATTTATATATGTTTTAAAGCACCATTTACTTCCATTGTTTTCGGGTGAGGGTAGAAATCTCAGAGAAAGATGTCTTAAAAGAAACAGAGCAAAAACTATTGCAAAGGTAGATACCACTAGATTTAAAAAAATGTATATTATAGTAAGCTGGTGATCCAACTCATGATTTATTCACTTTAGGAAAAGCTCACAAGGTCGTGTAAAAAGATATGTAACAAATCTGAGAGACATGGTCAATCTGATAATGAATAAACACGTGGAATCATGTGGAGCTCTTCTCTTTCCCCTGTGCACACAACTCTCTGTGCTGTATGATGTCCGCTTTCTCCCTTCTGAAACACCGATTTGACTGTGCACCGCGGGTGTCAGGTTCTCTTGTCCTTCAAGCCGATCAGGACCTGCTTTTGCCGCGCGCGAAGACAGCCGGTGTCACTCGGCAGCCGGGCCAGAGTGGCAGCTCCTCTCCCCGGGCCCCTGACAGGCCTGCAGAGCCTCATGATGGATGAGCACTGTCCATTAGCTGCGTTCACCTCTGACCAGTGCCAGACTACAGCTGACGCCTGCTCTGCTCCCCGCTCAGCTCCGGTCTGCACGCCCCTCTAACCCCTCACTCACCGAGAGGGCTGCTGGAATTAAGCCATCACAGCCAGGGAAAAACACAGTTGGTGGTGGGGAGGGTGTAGGAGAGGGAGTTTTTTTGTCTCCTCCAACATACTCTTTTGTCTTATTTCTGCCACTGCAATAACATTGTCAGAAGAGCGATTCTTTGGCCAGTTCTATGCCAAGATTGTGTCATTGCTATTATGCTAACTCTCAATACTCACTTCCTTTAAAAGACCTAATGTGGCTCTCACAGGTAAATCCATAACACTTAAAGATGAGGGATGATGCCAACAATCTATCTTTTGATGTTAGTGGAGCTGGCAGGTACTTATTTATTTTACCAACTTCTGCCTTAAATTAGCCCATTTCAAGAGATTTTCAACTTAAATGGTAACTTCTTACATATCTGATAAAATATTCTGTTACTATAAACATGAGTATTTAGGAAAATGATCCAACTAAAGATGAACTAGAATCGCACTCAAAGAGTACGTATCTCCTCCAAGACCCAACAATCCCCTTATGAAACCATATTTAAATTCACTATACGTTCTCTGAAAAATCAAGGTAAATGCAGAAAAACGCCCCCTGATCCGCATCAGAATTGAATGGTTTCTTCCCTGACTCATACCGTATCCTTCCACCAAGTTTTGTGATAATCCGTCCAGCAGTTATTGCAAAATCATGCCGACTAACAGACAAACAAACTCAGACCTAAACACAACCTCATTGGAAGGGATGAATTAGAAAATAGTCTCTGTTACCATAAACTTGAGTATTTGAAAATAAGCACTCTAACTAAATGTGAAATAACACATTTATCAAACAGTATAGTCATGACCACCGATGGAGTAAAAAAAAAAAAAAAAGAAAGAAACTATATTTTGGGGTTTATCAGCTTCTAAACTTTTCTTAGGTCCATCTTTTGAGGGTCTTACTTCGAAGTTGCTCACCTCCTCCCTTCATCCTCCAGTTTCTAGCAGTGCAACAACATGCAATTGTTACCCGATGGGCACAGCTTCTCAATGTGCTCTGTTTGAAACGTCTCTCTACTTTTGTCTTTTCTTCACATTCTCAATAATACTTTCATAGCATCCAAATAGAAATAAGCCTGAAAATGAAGTTATAATCAGGAAACCAAAATGTGTAGTAAAATGTGCGATTCTAAAGAAGCATCTTTGAGGTTTGTGAAAAACACTCCCAACACAGTGTGCTGGTGAACTCACAGCGCTCATCAGGGAGTCGAGCACACTGACAGCGAAAGCAGTGCCGCAGGCGAAGGGCTGAGTGAGGTACAGCTCTGTGTCTGGGTCATCATCATCATCTTGGTCCAGGAACTGAACGTTTGAGTCGTTCACTGAGAGAGGGGAAACACAGCGGAGTTAGAGACGGGCGCTGTGAAGAGATGGGAGTCAAACACACACACACGCAGACACCAACACACCTGAGAGTTCAGGGATGTATAGTTGTTTTTTTGTTTATTCATTTAGCATGTGAAAAAATTTGGACGTATTATGGCAATGTCACAGAAAAGTCTCAGGTATGTAAGGTATTGATCCAGGGTTCTAGCTCGTAATATAATGAAACATTAGATGCCCATTATATTTTGTTTCTACAGGAACTTTATTTCTTATCCAAACAATTGACACACTTTTATCCTAAAATACAGTTTGAAGAATCACCAGTTTAAACATAAACTACTCATCATCTGTAGTTTTCTGTCCACATACTGTTTAATTGTTTGGAATGTGAAAAAAAGTATTTTTGACTTTTGAAGGATTATAAAAAGGTATTTAGAATATTAAATCCACTGTATATCACATGCAGGAAGCATTTCATACATTTAGACAAACCACAATTTTAGAGGAAAATATTAAATTAGAAAATGCATACACAGTGATAACCATTGTAGAAGTCTCGGTCTTGAAAGTATTTTGATCTTTTTGTTAAATAACTGCAATAAAAAAGTAGGTAAAATAGCTCTATATATAAAAAATAATGACTGTGTTGCTTGACTTAACAATAACATTAAATTCTCACTATACGATGTGTTATATAGCAAATAGGTATTTCTTGGTGTATCCAGGCAAAAAAAAAAAAAAAAAAGTGGGACTTCAACAATGGCTACATGAGAAAACCATGCACTTATGAAATCATGCTATGTCTTTCTGAGTTTTCCTTGATAGATGTGTTTTATTCCACATCATCACCTTGAGAGAAATATTTACCTGTCCCCTGAAAGTCAAATTAAAGCCAGGTAACAACACACTTGTTTATCTCACGAATAATAATATATCAGGTCTGCTAAATGACCTAAAGGCAGAGTGTAAATGGAAAAAACTGAAATAACAAGGATGTTTTTCTCTCTTTCGTCTATTGCATAATTGGTGGAATAAAAAACCTTAAGTGCTCCCTATAGTGTGCGTCTTTTTCCTTGGACTGGATTTCTGGCAGCAGCGGGCACTGAAGGGTCTATGAACCATTTTTACTTTGAAAATTCAAGCATCACACAAGTTTTTGTTTGACTCCACCAATATCTGAGCTTCAGAGATATGGTCTGGAGAAGACAAAAACAAAAAACAACAAAAAAGAAACTGGAAGATGAATTTCAAAAAATAAATAAACAGCTTAAAAGATTGTTTGATCTTAAGTTTTTTGTTTCTGAAATCTGATTTCTTCCCAGACTTCCTGTGCGCTGTGGAACAGAAATGTCAGTCAAAGAGACAAGGGGCTGATGCAAACTGGCCTCGGCCAAAAAGAGTGGATTGGAGGGTGGTGTGGGGGTGGATGTGGATATGTATGTATATGTGTGTGTGTGTGTGTGTGTGTTTGGGAGGGGGGAGAGGGATGGAGGGGTGGGTGGGTTGCTATGAAAACAGCCACAAGGACAGACCGAGCATGATCAAAGCCTGGCGATGCTCTGCAAACGCAACTGGAGGAAAAAAAGAAATACCCCAAAAAGAAAAAGAAAAAATCATTACCAAAAAAAAAAAAAAAGGAAGGGGGGCAAAACAAGACAGTCAATCTTAACCAGAGCGAAGAATAAAAAATGTGTTCAAAGTGAAGCCATGGGAGCAGCGAGGGCCTTGACTGCAGCCAGATAAATCAAGACAGGCTGATGAGGAGCGGAGCGGTGGAGCGAACGAACGGCAGCAGAGGACAAAGGCTCAGCTTACCCAGCTCTGTTATCATTTGTATGTTGGTTCCACTTTTTTTTTCCTGATTGAGTGAAACCAATGGCAGTAGTTTGCCAGGTTTAGCTAATGGTGATGAGACAGGTGCAGAGAGGTAGAGGAGAAATGGTGTCGTTATTGAAGCAGTTTCAAAGAGCTCAATAAAGGCATGTTCGCTCGTCTCAGACTACACTGGTGTCAACTCCGGAATTTACTCCTGAGACGTTCACGGTTGTCCGGCGTCTAAAAGTAAGGCACCGTGGATTAGAGTGCACAAAGCCAGAGCTGCCGTGGCGGTGTGCACCACAACAGCAACAATAAATTAATTCAGTGAACGGGATAAACAAGGTCTTATCCATAAACACACCTACTTTACACTCCACGCAAACAAAATTGATCACACAACTCAGATGAGGTGTTTTTATGTTGCAACTCGACTTTAATCTGCCGCTGGCTCTGAAAACCGAACATATGACAATGTAATTACAGAATGTGGTTCCGGTGAGACGTGCAGACACCCTCTCTTCTGCATGCTCTCCCTCCTTCCTGCTCTGAAGGACAATGCTATCACATCTAGTCTTTCTTTAACTGTGAAATTCGTCAGCCGAGAGCACGCGGAGGCACAACGCCACAGCTTCGGAGCCGCTCAGGACACAAAACCTATGACTCCAGGCGTAGATAGCATCTATAGTTTTGATGATTGCGTATGCAGTCAGCGGTCTAATAGGGAGAGCCTCTCTGCAGGTAATGGCTAGCCCGGTTACAAGTAACATTAAGTAGCTCCTTTCTCTTTCTGGCCTTTTTCTTAGCTGGGCTCATGCTCCATTGCTCCCTAATTGGGTCAGGGGAGACAGAGTAGCCAGTCTCTGGTGCTTTAGAAGGCCCCTCAGAGATCTGAAAGTTTCATGAGTCCCCAGCACCAGTGGGAATACAGCCACTGCCATTGTTATTAATAAATGGACCCATTTTGCAACCAAGGCAGTTTTTTTTTCTCCTCAACCTTTTCACTCTCTTTCCTTTTCTTCCTCTCTCACCCTCTCCATCAGGCTGAAGTTTCTCCCGTGCATTAGTGGACAAATTGCAGGAGATGTAGCTATCCTCCTAAAAATGCCTGTCCACCATCAGAGGTCCACAATGTCCTGAGGAGCAAAGATATTTCCCTGTGTTTTCCGCTAACGTTATCACCAATTCAGCCAAATAAAAAATAAAAAAAGCCAGATCTAATAATTCACGTACGAATAAGAACTGGAGTTGGGCAAAGCTACCGATAAACATGAACGTGAACAAAAATTCCACACCACACATTCCTGAGTCCGCTCAACATTGAATGAGTTGGAACTTTTGGTAGCGGCATGATGTTGAAGTCTATTGTTGAGACTATTTGTGTCTATGTCTGCGAATGAGTAATGAGTTGATCTGAGGTTATTGGGTGTTGGGCATGCGACATTTGAACTTTAAGGGTGGTCGGAAACGGCTTTAACCTAGTTCTGTGATGATGGGGATGTTGGATCCGGTGGTGACGGAAGCCTGACGCACGAAGCCATGTACTGGACTGCTGTCTGGAGATGACCTGTCCATTCCAGGAGGCGTGAAACCTGAAATACAGGTAAATAGAAGATGTGAGTAAATAATACATTGAGCGTCATTAGGAGATCAAGGAGAAAAAACACAGTCCAAGCAAAAAAAGAAAAAGCCATATAGGTATCATAAGCATGAGGACATAACATGGCACTCTGTATCAACACCATTATACATAGTGCATGTCAGCTCACTCAGCAGGAAGTTGTTGATGCTTTCTGTGTCATTCAAATGTGTGGATTGACAAAAAAAAAAGGAAAGAATGGAGGAGAAGGCTGAGTGAACAAGGGGCCTGTCTAGAAATTGCAATATGGACACTGTGCTTTTAGGGGTCAGCTAAGACATATTTAGCAGTCGCATCCCTCCATCAACGGGCCGGCATAAATTTTGTATGTTGTTCATTTTGTTCCGATAAAATTGGTGAAGTGGATCCTGAAAACCTTTTATCGGAAATGGCGTGGCTCAGAACCACGAGGCGCAAGTGCAAGTGACAGGACTATGAATTCACATGACTTCACATTTTTTGCATTTCCTCAAAGTGACAAGTAAACACCTTAAATCTGTAATGCTATATGCATAATGCATCAACTGTGTTTTGACATCCATCATTTAGTGCTGACTACAGCAAAATGCCAGCTTATAGTGCCACCACCAAGGAAACATAATGCAGGGAATATATTCAGGTCACAAAGTTTTTAAAAGGATTGCACATTTTTCCATGCGTGTGTGTTTCTTACACACACACACACACACACACACACACACACACACAATGAGCTGCTTACATTACAAAAGATATCTCCCTTTGTAACAGAAAAGACACCAACTAGTTTAGTACACAGCAGGAAGCACACACTGAACTGAGGCATGGATAATCATTACTCTTGTTATACCAATTATTGAACTTGGAAATAGCAGAGGTTTGACATTTTGAGTCGACCGGGGAGCACGAGCTCAGACAGTGAAAACATCATTTTGTCGATGTCCATAAAGGATGAGGTTCACTCCACTGGAGAGTGACAGCAAGTTTTTTTTGCGGGGGGGATACTGCCTCTAAAAACACTGCTCTTATTGTATCATAGTGAACATGAAGACAGTACAGAGCTGTAGAGGAGCCGTTTCCATTCTGTGCCGGGTGTACAGCAGAAAGTGATTGTTGGTGAGAACAGGGATACATGAGGCCTGCTGCTGAGCTGCTTTCAAAACCTGTTAGCTTACAAACAGCTCAGAAAGTTGCAGTGTGAGCTGCAAACAGAGAGCTGTATGTCTTCCTGAGACAGAACCAGAGTGTTAAAATGCCACGTTGCTAAGATGTGTTTATCCCAGTGAGCATCAAAATCCTACATAAGTGAATTCATGCAGGAATTAAAATTGCTACGTATGGAAAATAAAAATACTTAAAATACCTTTACATACCTAGGTCTTCTAATCTTTCCAATTTATCTTATAATCACTTTGCACTGTAACATTTTATAATATACATTCACTGCCCAAACCACACCAGCCAGCGTTTGAAAAGCAGCCTGATCACGCACCATGTCTCCTCCTCTGGCTGTTGCCACTGTGAGGCTGTAACCTTGTCTACCCAACTACAATGTACAATAGACATGTGAGATCTGGGTTACGTACCCCCTTATCCCTGTAGCCCCCTGGGCACAGCTATGCTCTGTGGTTGACTACATGCTACAGCAGCCGTGAGAAGCTCTCCCCCAGGAAAGCGCATGTTTATTTATTCATTTGCACCTTCTTGTTTTAAATTCCACAGACAGCGTCTGAATGGGAGCATTCAGGGAGGAAGGAATCCCCAAAGCAATACCTATGATACAATAGCAGCGTCTGGGTATGTGTGTGTTTCCTTGTGTATGCATGATTGCATGTCACTATCGTGTGTGTGTTGGGGGGGGGGGGTTCTAAAGTGAAGTATTTATCACTGAAATGGTTGGTTGATGTAAGACCCAATTATTGATGACAATAGGCTCCATCCATCGACCCCGCGAGAGGATATAGGCAAGTGGGCTTCATATTGAGGTGACTTTCTGTGGATACGGCTCCCAGGAGCGGCATGCTCTCAGATTTACCCCTGCTTATTGTTCCTCAGTGGCACCACTATCGACAGCACATCACTCACTCAAGGCTGGAGAAATAACAGCATTGGCATTCTCCTAAAACATGTGGAAGTGCTCTGCACTAAAAAATAATGGCCTCTTGGACCTTCAACTTTGATTTGTATTTACAACAGTCACTGTGGTGGCTCTAAATAGTACTGAGCTCAAGGCATGTCATGCCTTTCAGGCTAATCATAAACTGAGGATTACCTGTCTGCGGGTGTGTGCGTGGATAGATTGTGTTGGCATGAGTGACTGCTTGTGTGCGAACATACACACATCTGAACACAAAGGTGTGCACACGCCTGTGTCACTGTTTTGTTGTGACTAATGAGGAGCAGCTGAATTGGCCTGCCTGGTGATTTGTACTGGCTGCTTAATGATGATGAGGCCTGATGGGACGCCAGGTTCGTGTGTTTGTCTGCAAACATCAACAATCTGTTCCAGATGATCCGCCAGACACCAGATCAGGGGGAACAACATCAAGTGACACAGTCATGTTGATTACATCATTATAAAGTATTATCAAGGACAAGGAGCAGCATGTAATTACCAGGGACGCCACTGAAATCAGCAGAAAATTACGTGGAGTAAACACTCTTCAGCGGCTTGATGAAACAATCAACTCAGTCGTCAGGAGTTACAGTTAAGTCAGTTTATAGATGCCATTTACAACAAACTTGTATTTCAATTAAGGACACTTAGCAGACTGTGCATGACAAACTACATTCCCCTCTCCTTCCGCTCACCCTCCCCTTTTTCCTCTCATCTTTTCCCATCTTTGAGTACTGTCTTCTCTCCTGCCACAACCTGTCCCCTCAGGGCAGCCGTGCACATGGAGTCCAATAGGACGCTCCTTACCTTGGGAATTAGCCTGTAAGACCCCGATGCTGTCATCAAACTGCATAGATTTGATGTTGAGCGATGCCAAGATGCATTCCTTATCCTGCAGTGAGGTGTCTTCGATATTGTTCTGATTGGCTGACAGGATTACACACATGTCGCAGAGGTTGATGTTGACAGCCCTTAAATCTGCCCGACTTAATGGTGTACCCTTCGGGGTGAGGAGAACAGAGAGGGAGAGAGCGAGGCAGAAGAGGAGGAAGCAAAATGCAGAGAGGAGAAGAGACAGACATGGGGGACAGAAAAACAAATTTAAGAAGTGAGCAGAGTGGAGCTTTGGGAAATTAGTTAACAAGTATTCTTGTTTCGAGGCGATGACATTCCACTGATCTAACTGGGCACTGGAGAATCAGAGACATGGACTAATCTAAAGGCTAGCCTACGCTGAGGGCTGTGTTTGGGATTCTCCTCTGATCATCAGTCAAGTCAGGCCTAACAAGCTCTAAGGCAGCGAACCACGCCATCTGTGATGGGCACTGCAGCTGCAACACATAAACTCCATCTTGGATATACAGGATGCGTCACTGCTCTGGAAGAAGAAGTAGAACAGGGCGGGGTAGGGGGTTGACTGAGCTCGCATGGAGTGATCATTCAATTGAGTAATGTGTGATCACATCAAGCTGACAATGCCTCTCAGGATTTCACTGTGCACGTAACTCAAAATGTCAGTCACATGCACACACATCCACAGATTCTGGGTTTTAGATTCATATCCTGTGGCGGTGAACTGGTGCACTCACAGGTAAGATGGAGACCTTGGGGAAGTTGTGTAAAGTTTCCCACTCTCTCCGCAGGTAATCCAGCGAGCCCACAAACACTATGGGCTTCAGCTCGTGGTAATGGAAGTTGCTGGCTCTTAAAGGCATCACCAAGTTTCGCAGCCCCACCAAAGCGGACGTGACATCCCCAAATATACAGACCACTACATGGCCGCTCAGCACCGTCATGGAGGCTTCACTCCGGGTCTGCAGGGAACAGAGGGGGGGATGTGGGGAGAAAGAGAGAGAGGGATGAGTGGGAGTGCAAACAGAGGATTAAGAGACACAGAAAAGAAATGAATGCTGTTAACAGAAAACTGGGTAATGTGCATGAAGTACCAAAATAACAGCATTTAAAAGTGTGTCATAAACTGTTATAAACCCACATTAAATAGTGTGTTAACCAAGCTGAAACATACATGATTAGTTCTTCTAAAAATCATCTATTAACAGGCTGCAACTTTCACAGAAACAAAGATTTGGTTAACTACTATTCTGTTTATAAGCAGTTTATTGGATAATCAGGAATTTCACACAGCAAAACCAAAAATGCAATTTTTCTCAAAGGGCAGTTGGTTGAAAAATGCAGTTTGTAAGATTTTAGGCACATACACTGTGTATGTATGACGAGCACCCGTTCATAAAACAGAAACGCATCAACAATGTTAATGTTGTAAGAGAACAATGCAGATCTGTCACAGCAGCTTCATTCCGCATTTCACTGCAAGTTTGGATCTTTGTTAAGAAAACTAAACGCTGCAATGACAGCAGCCAGTTCAAAACTAAAACTATGTCTTTGTTTACTGGAAACATGAAGTTAAACCAGGAGCATCGATTTGATCTAGTGGATTAAACATTTTAACACTCTAACAGGAATATTCTTCACCCTCCCATTGAATTAGAATTAAGAACAGAAATAAGACGTCCTTCATTAATCCCGCAATGGGGAAATTTGCAAAATGACAGCAGCAGAAAGACATCAGTAGTAATAAGTAGAAATATAGAAGAAAAATGTATATATACAATATGTACAGTGTAAAGAAACATAGTATGTATGTATTAAAACTTGAATACAATCTTTCAAGAGTAAAAATGTATCTGCTGTATTGGTTAACAGAAAAATCAACACAAAAATCCCTAAATCTCAGCAATAAAATTAACTTAATTTCATGTGGACACCAAACACATTACGCACCAACCTAAATGCTTACAAACTGCCTTGCAAAAACATCAGAGCAAACCCATGCGTGGAGAGGTGCTGGAATGCTGTTCACAGATCTTTGGAGGATATATACATATATAAAAAACCATAAACTCACCTTGAAACAACAGAGAGGCATTGAGAGAAATGTCAGTACATATTAGTATGTGACTGTGTTGCTACAGTATTGAGGGGAAACCTTTACTCCTGAGCATCACTTACTTTAACTTCAGTTCTGTTGCTTGTTGTTATTTTGTGTATATTTTATTACATTTCTTTATAACATTGCACTTACAAAGCTCTTGCCCCCGACTCACCAGGATGACTTTTTCGATCTCCTTAGACGGGCACCAGTGAAACATCCCTGTCGAATCATACCTCTTCACGTTCATGTCCATGTTCTCGATTTGTTCATTTCCAGGAATTAGAAGGGGGTCGTGTCGACTGAGGAAACAAAATAACGTGCAAGTTAGAACATTGTTTGTGATGTGACTGCAGCCTTGAGGTAAAACCCCCTGGATTTATTTTGAGATACACACAGTATAGTCCGGTCGAATTCAGATTCTGCTTTATTTGTCACTTTAATAATACAGATTACAGCAAACATCTGTTGAAATACTGAACTCAACAGATCACATTTAAAAACAACATAAAAAGATACCAGCGTTAAAACTTATCTTAGACATTTAAAGATCAACCCATTTAAACTTTGTATCTGCAATTATATTGTACATCCCATAACTAACACATCATTCCTCTGTTCCTTCTTGTCCTTGATGTCTAAGCCATCAGAAAACTAAAAGACCCCGGTGCCTGCAGTGGTGCAGAGGAGAACAGCCGAGTCAAGTCGAGACTTGAATGCTACTGACTGAATGGCATGACAACACAAGGCCAATTACCAGCTTTTACCCTCTCCTCCAGTTCTCGATGCCATGCGGAGCAAATAGTAAACGCTCCAACAGGCTCACACTTTAAATATTTCAGGAATTTGCCCAATCACATTTTGCTTCCACAACTGATGGACATTAATGTTTCAGCAGCGTGTCACAACCAAACAGACTAATCCACAGCAGTGGGCTGCTGAGTTTTATCCGGTGTAACACTGACCATGAAAGGGCTCCTGTCAGCCCTGTTATACTGCCTCTCTTGTTCTTGCACTTATCCTACGAGACGTGTTCTCACAGTTCCTCTAAAGGCAAATCCAGAATATTTCACCCAATCCACTGAGTCAAAAGAAACTGCAGAATTTTATTTTTGTTAAACTGCAACTTCACAATAAATATTGTTTGTTAAGCAGCGATGTAAACTTGATTTATTTACAGTTCAACCCAAATAATGAAATCCTTGGTTAAAGCAGCGCTGCACCATCTTCCCGAAAACAGAGAAGTGCACGGAGACAGACGCTTGAGTAGAATGGGAGAAAGCATCTCAAGAATTTGACATACATCTCTCTCAGTATCACTCTCTCTATCGTCTATCAACACTGTCATTCACTGACAACGCTTTGATGTCGTCTCTTCCTTCAGCCTGCATTTGGGTTGCATGCCATCGCAGGAAAAGTAAAAGTTATTTTAAAAAAACCTGTCAATTAGCCACCATCTCTTCACCTCTCTTTCCCCCTCTTCCCTCTATCAGTTAGTGCAGGTGATAATAACACTGACAGCATTTAGTGTTTTTTACACTCAGCCTGAATCTTTCATCCTGAGCTGCGTGTTGCGCCAATCAACTCCACGGAGCCCCCGTCACTTCAATCTGCTCAGCTCCGCTCGCCTCCACACAGGGGCTGACTGGCGCATGCAGGCGGGCTGCCGCTCCACCTCTCTCTGCCAAGACAGCTATCTTTCACTGAGCTGTCAGCGGCGTGACTGGCAGCCTGTCACCGGCTTCGCACACCTCCTCCTCCCTCTGCCTTCTCCCTGCCTCGGGTTGAACCTACCACGAGGCTCGGGGAGAGCAGACATGACGCCCGTGCCACAGTGCCACGCCCAAGGGATGTCAGCTGTGGATGATATCCCCGGCGATTGGACGCATGTCATCAGTCATGACCCGTCAAAAAGGTTTGAGGAAATGTCAGTGCCGTGGTGGAAACGTGGTTCGTTAGTACAGTGACACGTCGGACTGGAGGCTGGGAGATTAATAACACCAACATGCTGAGGATATAGGTCAGGATGCAAAATGTGATTCAATGTCAACTTTAACATTTCAATAAACTGCATAAATATTTTTAAATAGATTACAAAATACTATTTTTCATATTTAATTCATTTGGAATATCTTTTATTGAAATATTCCCACCTAAACACAACACTACATTTCTATTTTTAATGAATTTACAGTATATTGGTTTGTAAAGCAAATATTTTCCCTTGGTAAAATAAAGAAAAGATGCACTTTTATATATAGGACAAATATTTCCTTTACAGCATGTCTTACTCCAGTGTCTCACCCCCTCTCTTTCTTCCTCCCTCCCTCCCTCAGTATATATTTCAAACAGAGTTGAGTTATTCCAGTGTATCACTCTGCAGTCACAAACTGGGGATGGGCGTGCTCCCCCAATCCCTCTCTGCCAGACTACGAAGGCAGCCTCTTGCTTTGAAAATTTTCCCCATCATGCAAACTGACAAAGGCATGCTTTTCAAAAGCCCACAGCCAATCTGTTGATCATTATTTATTTACAAAGGCCTTTAGGCTGCGAGTCCTGTAAAAATCATACTTGATACGTATGCTCGCTCTTTCGCTCGCTCGCTCTGTCTCTACTGTGTTTTCCCCCGCCTTGCTTGTAGAATAAAGTATCCCTAAGGCTACCTCAAACAATCACTTTTCATTGTGCATAAAACACACCTTGTAAAGAACAACTGTTTAATATATATGGTGTTATATGTTGGCGGGGGCAGCTGCGAGGGGGGGGGGGCTGCGGACTGTGATGGGTAATTTGATGTTTTGCTGAAGGCTAAGACTTGGAGAAAAAAAAATCTACACCTATAACAGAGGACCTGTCATCCCCAGTACCCAAGAGCCAGCAGAATACAGAAGCACCCCTAAAGCAGAAAAAACTTTGACACCGCTTTGAAGCGTTTTCAAAACTGGGTAAATAACTCTCAAGAATTATTATCATTGCGAGATCAAAGCAGAGATGCATATATTACGTGGCAAACAGGGCCCGTCTTGCGAGCAAGAAAAAAAACAACAAAAAAGGAAGAGAAGAAAAGGTTTTGTGCTTTAAGTTAGGCAAACTAAACAGCCTTTTAAACAAGCAGTTAGCTGGAAATACGCCAATGTCTAGTTGCTTTTGTAGTCGTTTTCTCCCTCTAAGCAAGGGCATCTAAAATGATGCTCTGTTGCAAACTAGACTGAAGGGTATGACTCTGTGTTGGGCTAATGGTTTGGCAAGTGTGAAGGCTTATTATGTGCTTTTTTTTGTGGAGAACCGAGGGGGAGGCTGACAAGTGCTGGACAAAATCACATAGGCACGCCAGTGCAGTAGGAGGAACGCTGCCTAAGGGAAACGCGCAGAACCAACATACAAAGACCTCGGCTAGAATGTAAGGAAAACACACCACGGGCACAATAACAAGTAAAAACAACCATATAAATCAGAAATCAATGATGGGATTCAAAGAACGTTTGTATTTTCTTTGTTGCAGAAATTAAACATCCTGTAAATACTGTTTTTGCCTTCAGGGATTTTTAATTCCACACAGAAAAAATATGATGTATTTCCCCACACACTTTCAGACTCTCCACACATCTCTCTCCAGATGTTTTCCTCCAGTAGAGTCGTGAAGGTGATGACCATAACACTCAGCCTCATTAGGAGCCAGGCAGCGTAGCTATGAGTGTTCCTGTCCTGTTAGATCTTCACCGCCATCCGTTTATGCCGCCGTCCCGATACGCACGCCGCGGCCTCCCCTGCATTTTCCACACTGTCGTGTTGCTAACCCGTGCCTCTAAGGCGGAGGAGCACAAGAAAAAAAACCTAGCCCCCTTTTATCCTTCAAAATCAATTAACGGCAATTTAATTCCACGGGACAGCATAAAAGGAAGGTAATATTTGAATTCATATTTGATTGTGATGATACATCTCGCATATGGCCTTAAGTACCAGAAACAGTACTCACAGGGGTTCCCACAATAGAGGAGTCGCCTGAGGGCAAAGTAACCATGCAGGTCCCTCTGATTGGTTGCTGGTGTCATTAGTGCCAGCATTGTTTAAGGAGTACATGTGGACCAGACCGGAGGAGGTGACAGCTGGGACTTTAGAGCCAGAGGAGTTTTTAAACAGCTCCTCACAGCCGCTTTTCATGACAGAAATATTATTTCAGCTCCGTCATTAACAGCTGACAGCATGCCATCCTCCACAGCCAGAGCATAACAGGGCACTTCTCCTCTCTTGCAGACTTTCTTACCTCCTTCCTCTGCCACCCTTAATTTGCCCCCTTTCCTTCCATCCAAAAACTCCCACCACCGCACCATCATCAGCATCTCGCACGCGTGCACTCCCTCCATCCTCTCCTCCCTCCACCTCTCCTCCGTTATCTGACTCCCTCTCACTCCACGTTTGAAAGATGGAAGGAGATAAATTGGCGTCGCTTACCTCATCATCTTGGGCGAGCAGTTGGGCGAGTTCCGCATCCCTCCGTTGCGCTGCTTTTTTTTGGGTGAGAGCGTCGACGGATGCTCGTCTTCAACTGCAAACACATGCACAGGATGTCAGAACAGAGACAGATGCTCGGGAAAGTGTGCTGGACCTGACATTTAAAAAAAAAAAAATAGCCAACAAACAATCAGTCATTTCAAACAAATTAAAAAAATAAAAATGAACAGAAGAAAAAAAGGAAAATTAATTGTTCAGTGTCAAATTGGGAAAATATAGAGAAAGCATTAGTAACGGACAATGGTAAATCTGAGAAGGGCAGGAGAAAACCACGGAGAAAAACCAATTTACGACCTGAAAATGTCACGGAAGGCTCACGTCCCAAAACCCCCATATTTTGGCTCTGCTAAGGTGCACTTTAACAGGGCTTCCACTTCTACACTGCGGCTCCGTAAACCCAATAAACTGCGCAGGTGGTTGGACCTCTAGCAGTCTGCATCAGAGTGACCATGCTTACCTACATCATTAATTGCCATGAGATGGTACAGATTGTCATTGTCAATGGGGCGCGGGCAAAAGCAATGACAATGAGATAAATAAGGTTATGGAGATGGATTTTGGATGTTTTTTTTTTTCTTCATGTAGCTAATTTAACCCCACCCCATCATTCCAGTTCATTCTAAAGCGCACAATGGCTCTTCTACAGGTCTACCTCCATGCCGAGAGATCACTTAGCACTCCACACACACCATGACGGACGCTGACAGGGTATGAGTTAGTAGGCTATGAAAGCAGCTAGTAATTGCTCGTCACCCTCCAGCAGATGAAGGTCAGGTCTGTTTTTTTTCAAAAGTTAAACTGAAAAAATAAATGATTTATTAAAGATGAAGTATTCCACTTTTTTGTGTTTGACACTTTGGCTGTTAAGTGGTTGTAGAGCTCTGAGCTGCAGCCACAACAGAGCTCATTTTTGATCAGATTCAAGTTCAGTTCTCTGTCAACTCTCCTTTTTCCGTGTTGAGAAACAAAAGGGGGGGAAAAAACACTATTCTTCCAAACTTTGCTTAAGTCCCAGTCAGACAGAGAGGACAAGAAAGAGAAGCCACGAGTGAGGCCAGGCCCGACTGTCTGAAGATTTCAGTGGAGCTATAACAGTAGTCTGATCTTCACTACTGTCTGAGAGTTTCAAGAGCGTTCAGACAGGCACCCAGATACTCTCATCCACTCTGCACCCTCTCAGCAGCAAATGCCAAGTGCACTGTCACTTCAAACCTGTATTAGTCCTTTGGTTAGGAATCAATAACACAGCATGATATTAGTGCAAATCAATGTGCCCGCCGCAAGCCGTGACTATTCCAAGCATGTGGAATTTCATTATTATCTGAGCACCCATTCTAGGCTGTCACCTAATTCTGCTAATAAAAGATAAGAAATATGACTTTGCCTTCTAATAAAATGTCATTCTCTGACATTTCCTTTATGAAGTTGGGCATTTGGAGTAGCTAATATCACAAGCACTTTCCACTTTACAAATAATTCGCTCCCTAATGTACTTTGAAAATACCAAATATGCATTTGTTGCCGTATTGTTTGACAGAATTCTCCTGGTTGAAACTTAATGTGTTAACAGTATAAATCTAATGTTTCTCAATTGAAGCTACAACAATAGAACTAAATACTTTCCAGCCACTAAGCATTAAAAGCTTTTCCGAAGAAAGATTGCAAACTTAAAAAGAGTCTATTTCGTCTCCCAAAGGTCAGTATCCTCAAAGCTCACAATTTCTGCAACACGTCTAAAAAATACAAATTGAAAAAAATCCCACTTCTAAATTCACAAGTCTTATAACACTCCACCAGTTGGGAAGTCACCCACACAGTAGCAGCCACTGCACTAGCAAGCAAATCCGTGCAAAGCAGCGGGGGCAACGACAGCAGCAGCTCCAGCATAGTGAACCGTCATGCAGAAAACAAGGCACAATGGAGGGGAGGGCCAGGCGGGGTTACTGACTGATGCATCCCGCTAAGGGGGCGACCTACAGTGCCTACTGTGACTGAGCAGCATGGCATTACTGGGGTGGTAGCGGTATTTCACCGGCAGACTGCGGGCCCGATTCAGCCGACTCTCAGCCCGGGATCTGGCCGTCACATCTCCTGGGCCTGAGATACTGAAGCGCAGTTTGGAGGGGTCGGGCCTTGGCCCTGTGGGGAGCAGGCTTCCTTTACGGTTATTAACAAGGGGGATGTTGATTGTGCCCGGGCTGACCAGGGGGTCCTGGTTGGGGTGCAGGGTGTTGGGAAGGAATTCATTTGAGGTGATGGAGGCAGAGGTGCAGCCGGTGGTTTTAACTGAGCAGTTTTGAAAAGATGGTCTAACTTCATCCATTACTGTCAAACAATGGAGAATAAAAAGTGTGAGAAAGGCTGTATTAATTCTCATAAAAAGTAAAAGGTGTTAAACTTTACAAAATTAAATTCTGCTCTTTTTGCCATATTTGTTAAAATAAAAATATATGTCATGATTATTTAATAAACTACAAATATGAAATGGCTGTTTCTGTTAAAAACATTGCAATTTTTCTTATTTCAGTTTAGATTCATTTCATGCTATAAACTCAAAAATTCATGCCATAACAGCAGGAATCCTTGATTATTTTTCTAAACCTGCTGTTGAAACATGGCGTACACTCTCAGCTGAAAATGTTCACAGCGACATTTACTTTGCAATTGTGACAAACATGAATTAATCAGGAGCCTCTCAGTTTTACTTCTCCATTGTGCTTCACTTTGTGGTAGAACAAAGCTCGAGACACGGCTTGGCTAAAGCCAGTCAAATCAGATACGGTGTCATCTCGAGCGTAATGTGTAGCTCGGTACTTTCATTTCAGCAAATATAAAATTTAAAAGTAATTATTTATACTATTACTTATTCAAAAAAACTTTAAACATTAAAGATTTATCAGATACATTTTGGATTATGTGTGGAAGGTTTGGTTTAATTCTTAATCTAAATAGTTTAGTAGATTTACAGGCTGAATTGTTTTTTGGTTTTTTTGCTGCAACTTTGACAGTAATCTATAATCAAACCTTCTGTGTCTAATATGAGAATACATACGTATACCTGATGTTCACCCAGCCATTCACACACACACACAGACTCACAGACACACACACACACACACACACACACACACTCTGCAGAGTCAAGCCGTATGTATTGAAGGGGTCATGGCACACTGCAGAAAGACAACAGGGGCAGATGAGTAAAATATCTGGTTGCAAAGTTGACTGCGAGAGGCGGAGCCCTTTTCCTCCCTTTGGTAAAGGGCTGGTTGGTTGGTTGTTTGGAGGAGAGAGCATGCTTGTGTGGCCCCGGGCGATAAACAGACGTTTATCCCAGCCGTCAGCTGCCTCCTTGATTTACGGGGCGCCACCGATAGCTCCTGGATTCATCTGGCCCTTGTCAAACACGTGCAGCGTTAGAGAGCACTCACCCGCCCTGGCAGGTCCACTGTGCATCCTGCACAACCCAGACGGCAACTGTCCCTTCCTGAAATGCTAATCACATGACGGTGCTGTCCTGCATGCAAGAACTTATCAGATCGCCATGACCCAATGTAAACTGGACGATGAGGAGAAGCAACAACAATGGAAAATGTTTTCTTCTGTATGTGAGCTGAGCTGGCTTTGCCTTTATACTTTCTGCTGCATGAACAAGCTTTGTTCTTCATCGGCAGTGCAAATGCATGAAATAGCTTTTTAGGCCATGCATCGTTGTGTTGTTACAGTTAGAAAATAAAACTGCTAATATGACTGCTACAATTTCTTTTAGATTTGCTAAAGAGGCAGCCCCTATTTCAAAGAGGAAACAAAATAAAGAGTCTAAATCTTTGTAAGAACAAAAACATTACATAAAAATATACAAATAAAATGTTCAAGTTGACGAATAGCATTTGAAAAAAAACTTAAATTTATTCTTAACCAGAGAGAAATAAATGCATTTAACAATTATTTACCCAAAAATTACCTAAATTGCAATCGGCTTTGAATCGAACGCCAGCCTCTTTTTGACTTCCACTGTTCCCTGGTGTTGTAGCGCCATCTGCTGCTACATGCAGCACAATACAAAAAGAATATTTTTATGGAACTACATGGTATTATCAAACACAAATAATTTTTTGTCAAATTCTAGAAATACCAGGGGCTACTTTAACTGCCTGTTAATATACAGTAGGGTCCATATTATTTAATGATAATACGTTAGAAACAAAACAATATGTATATAAGTTAAACACTGAATTTACTTGTTATGTTTACTTTTTCACATTTGGTCTTAAGACACAAGACAACATCAGTACATGCTAAAGGAATAGGGGACAACAGAGAAAAAACTAAAGCAAAGCATCAGTACTAGTTATGTTACATATGATAATATATAGGGGGTCTAGACTGTAAACACAGAGCTGGAGCAGAATGGAGAAGGACGGAGAAACACACTTACGTGATCTGACATATCCATTATACTTATATTTGGCTGAGGAGAATGCAAAGACAAGTGGCAGGTCACACGGAGGGAGAAAGGATGTAATGAAACAGACACATTAGGAATAGAGACATCAACGTAAGAGCAGTGGATGGACATGGAATCAAATGTAACTATGATGAAGTGCTACCAGTGAGAGGCATGAGGACAAAAATAAAAAAAGGTATAAATGATTAAAGTAATGGTGGTGGTGATGTAAGTATGGCATTGATGGCACAAAAAATGGCAGACAGGTGAATGTAATGATGTGTCCGCTCTCAGTGTGAGCCATGCTTTTAGGGAAGTGTACTAAACCTGTGATGGGATGGAATGACAGTCTAATTATTACATTTCTTCAAAGGGTCTGGATTTGAGGTTACACAGTTTCAGTGGTGGATTCAACATTGCAATAATTCTCATCGATAAAATGCTCTGACGTTCTACATTTCTACTTTAACACTGTGACGTCTGTAGACAGAACAGAGGAAGTCACCGTGGGAAACAAAGACAACATGGATGTAGACGTCCAAAACACAGACAGCACACACTTGTCACGCGAACACACAATACAGAGGGACTTGATCTCAACATGTAGTCAGGATCTCTTGTGCGAAAGGAAATTTAAAAAATGGATTAACTGAGGTCTCCACTATTAATCTATGAATAACAGTTTATGGCCTTGACTGAGGAGGTACAGACGACTGGTACCAATATAAGTACTGGTTGAGTGCAGACTTAAACTGAGCTCTGAGCTGCTGACACTCCCCACTCTTTTCCATAGTCTCTTCCAGCAGTAAAGGTCACAGTGAGTGCCCAGGGCTGGCCTCTGACACGGATCCTCAAACAGGGACCTAAGGTGGCCCTGGCATCTGTCTCTAGCAATCTGCCCGCACTGCAGAGGCGGCAGACTAACTGGCTAGCATCTGGGGCGTATTGAGGTGGCATTGGACAGAGGGTGGGGGTGGAGTGGATGTGTGGGTGTGTATGTGTGTCAGTGGGGAGGGGGGCATGCCTGCCTGGTGGACAGGATCTGTCAGGGCAAGTTTGGTGACGGACCAGCAGGGCTGGGAAAATGAAAATGCAAACATAATTTCTGTGTCAGGACAGATAAGGTCCCCGGCAATGAGATGCAGATACAAACACATCTAGAAACACAAGAGATAGAAAGTGCATGTTGTTACACACACTAGATGTGCAAATGCACGCACACACGCACGCACACACACACACACACACACACAGCCCAGAAGGTTGTGAACTACAGCCAAAAGCATCTCTCGGGCTTGGAGCCCCCTACTGTTGTCCATAGCTCAGATCATAGAAGCGTCAACCTCTCGATTATATAAACCCTGACTGTGGTGATAATCAGGTCACAAAGTAAGAATGCATGTAACTGATATACCAAAAATAAACGTATGATTCAACTAAAATAACTTCCGAGACAATATTTCAAAACCTTAGTGTACACACAAATCACACAACGGAGACTATAACTTTGTATTTAAGTTCATCTGCAAATATAATTTACGCTTTAAACTATAGTTTTGATTAAACATTAAATATAGAAACAACTTAAATTCAGCAAAATCTGCAAAGGTTTCCTGAAAACTCAAGTTTATGTCTCATCGTACCTTTTCACTCCAATAATTCAACATCCGACTAAATTTCAACATCACTGTATGTGTATAATCCCGAACAACAGAAGACTGAATTAATCTGGTTGGCTAATTTGTCCAGTTTTGTGTAGGGTTTATATCATTTCATGAAATACCACATTACTCACTAAACCCGTTGGATGGGAAGGCAATTCATTAAAATATTGTATCATTAAAGTCCATAAAGCAAAACCAAGGTTTATGTTCATAGCACCATTAAAAAGGTGAGTGTATCACACTGTGCAGCATAAATGTGACTTGCATCAGATCACAGGATGCATTAAATTAAACAGCGCTATCCACGGAATCAATTATCCAAATAGTAGGTTCCAGACAAATCTGGCTCAGATCTACAAGAGCATGAAGTCATCATGGATAAAGACGTCTTATCCTCTCAGTGTAGTGGGGGAAAAAAAAAAAGATGGGAAATGGGGAGAGGAAATCCAGCAATCCCTGACTGACAAAGCCCAATACACTATTTCAATAAACTCACTTTGTTCAGACAAAGTCAGAGTTAAAAAGGGAAAGAAATCTAAGACTGAGGAGGCTTTCCTGAAATCCTACAGGGGGTTGAGGGAGAAGTGAGATCAGTAACCATGTAATGGCCAGTAATTGGTATCAGGGGATATCAGCGCAGGCTGAACTACAAGAGGCCAAGCCAAACTCATCATGGCTTGTTTGACACTAATCTAGGCTGAGTCGGCAGACGGTGGGAGAATGTTGAGAAGGAAATCAGATCTGTATGTCTGAACCCAACGCTTTGATAGCGAGGCCTGCTGCTGCCATGTCTAATTGACGGACAATTTTGTATTTTGTATCCACTCAAAAGGAAAACGAGAAGGAGGGGGGTCGCCGTCTTCTAACCTTTTCTTTATCAAGCCAATATCACCTTTTTAGTAATTCTCGTTTTGTGTTTTCTCTCCCCTCTCCTTTTCCCTTATCTACCTTTTTGTCCTCTTTCCTGCTTGACAAAACCTCTCTCTCTCTCGCTCTGTCTCTCTCCACCCTCTCCTCTTCCCTCCTCATTCATCTCTCTTCTCCTGGTGTAGACTATATACAGTACGAGTTGTACAGACTGATCTTAAGAAAATCAGAGGAGGACATCTTGAGTTGCACATGAGAACAAAGGCAACTGGACTTGCTTGTGATTCTTGAAGTTGTTTCAAATCATATCCAAGAGGCTTCTTCAGTTCTGTCCACGTATCTGCTGGTCAGCCTTGTTGTGAAATGTGTCTCACTCAAGTTGTTGGTTCTGAGATTTCTGCAGATTTCTTTCAGCTCAGTGGCATTTCACTTGAAACAAAAGTGGTTCCCTGTGAGTCCATCTTTGTTGATGAAAGTGTTTAGTGACTGAACTTGGATGAGAAACACAAGCAAGTTCAGTTGCCTGTGATCATGAGCAACTCCTGCAGATACTTTGTCCTGGATGACTGGGAACCATCACAGATACGGCATAAATTATCTTCAACTGTGCAGTGTAAAAATTTAAATCCTTGCTCAGTAGCTCAGGGAGGCTAAGTCAAAGGTAAAAAGAAAAATGAAATAGGACTTGCATCAAAAAGTACGGGACCAGTTTCAAATATGAAAAAAATGCTTTAACTGAAAAGTGAACAAACTGAAAACAGTGTATACCTCCAAAGTAAAATAAAAGACATAAATAAAGAAAAAACATTAAATTGCAATTCAAAACCTTGAGAATAAATAAACAAATATGTTCCATTGTTGTGTACACAGATATCTTACCTTAAAAGACAAATCAACACCAACTCTCCAATAGTGATATTATCACACAACTGCATGATTGGTGCAGCATGTCTAACACCTACAGTGCTTAACAGTACAGCAGCAGCACCACAGAGCCACACCACCACTGGACCCACCACACACACACATTACACTCAGGATCTAAGACCAGTCAAATAATAATGAGAAATAACTGAACATAAGGGAATTCAAGTGCGAGTAAAAGAAAACAAAGGTGATGAAGNCCCTCAAAGGGAAAGCGATGTGGAAAATGGACGAATGTGATGTAAAGCATCTGATTCTGTGCTTCTGTGTTGTTCTCAATTAAAATTGAAAGAAGATTGTTTTGATGACGACCAGTGTGACGGAGCTGAAACATGACGGTTAAACTGTCTCTCTCTCTCTCTCTCTCTCTGAACGCTCGACCTGACGACCAGCTGTTCAACGCCGCAGTTTTTAAGCGTCGTTTTCCTTCGGACCCTGAATGTCTGAGTCCTATTTTCTTTAAATCTACCCCATCGCCTCTTCCTCCTTCCTCGTCTGCCCTCTTGGCTCTCGACTCATCTTCTTCATGCCCCACTTGACTCTGATGATATGAGATTTCAGTCCCCATGGCAACCGGCGGGACTCGTAACCATCTCCACTTTCCTGTCTCTAATTCCTGCCCCTTTCATTTGCATAGAAATAACATTTTGGGATGAATGAGCGGTCCCCTCCAGACCCAACCTGTGTGTGTCGGAGCGCTCAGAGCATCTTATTTGTGTTCCTGCCTGCCTGCATCAGCGCCAACATTTACCTCGTGATGTGAATGATGAAGCTGACGGCTGATGTGATCTCTCTCCGAGCTCTGAGCCTCATTTTAATATCGCCTTTGGCCATGTACTTTTATTACTCTCATATTTCATCAAACAATCTCACCAACAAGCGGGTAATGACATAATTAACCTACAGGGGGGAGCGCCCTCGCCGCCAGGACGAAGGATTTAATTGAGGAGGGAGGCTTTAAGGCGAGGCCGGCCGATCGGAGGGGTCAGAGGGAGGCGGGGACGGCGAGCAGAGCGGTGACGCCGTGCAGCGACAGCAGGAGGCGGTGACGACCAGTTAATGAGGTTTTAATGACATTAACTCTGAGGGTCAGGTGCTGAGCTTTGTGTTTTACATCCAGGTCGCTGGCACGACAACTGCTCAAGTGATTTATTTTCTAACACCAATAAATACAGTTTCTGAATCTGAGTTGTTCTTATATAAGATATAAGTTCAAAGATATAATTAGAGATTCAGTCAAAACAAAGTAGTCGGGTCATGAATCTTCCCTCTTCTCCTCCTGGTGATAATGATCAACCTGTTTTCTATACGTTTCTCACATCTGAGGGAACTCTTGAACCACAGGAGATTTATTTCCTGCCGCTGGACTTCATGTTGTACAGAAGGTGATTGTGACGTTCAAACTACGTCCACAACTCAGATTCTCCTGAGACCAGAGAGATTCATGGTCCTCAGAGGAAAGACTGATTTAGTCAGTTACAAAGAGAATCCATCCAGAAAAATCCAAAGACAAAGCAAAGACTCACATGGACGGACTTCAGACACTAAGTTGAATAAATCATCAGTGTG